ACACCATCAAAATCCTCGCTAGTAAGGATATGGAAAATGTTCCACTATGGTCCAAGATGTAAATTCATACAAATTTTACGAATGGTGTATTTTCCAGCTAAACAATCATGTCTATACAATAAATAATGTTATATACAGAGAGCAGCACTAAAGATGTATATAAAAAAATTATATAATTTTCATACATAAATAACTGTAGTACACATACTGTAGCTCTGTACACAACAACAATTTAAGGAATTTCAGCTGACAAGAAAACAATTTGTGCTGACTTACATGTAAGCAAGACAAGATAAATTTAACAGTACACTAAAGCCCTTAAAATTTTGGCAAAAAACATCTTTAATAATTGATTATAATAATTAATAATAGCATGATAATAATCAAAAATAATCTGTCACTTTGACAAGATACACATATTTTATGAATTTACACTTGAAAGATTAAATTTTAATAATGTCTGGCAACAGCAATACCATACACTGTACTTAAGGTGAAAGGGGAGATTTATAGTTCTTAGGTGACCAGGGTAAAACAACATGTTAAAAATTAAGAAATAACCAGCATGAATTTTTATTTATTAAAATGTAACTTAAACTTATATTCAGTGTTCAAAATTAATAATTATAATAATATAAGTAGCTTCGTAAAGGTAAAGGTATAGTCTGCATATGAGCCAAGTGGCTCATCAGGTTGGTCAGCTTATCCCGGTGTCAGTAGCATGAAGCGACTAGGAGTATTTCTACTTCCCCCTGGACGGGATGCTAGTTCATCGCAGTGTTACCCCCAGCATTAAATTTGCCGGTACCCATTTATACTCCTGGTGGAGAGAGAGCCACTGTGAGAGTAAAGTGTCTTGCCCAAGAACACAACACAATGTCCTTGACCAGGGCTCGAACCCGGACCGCTCGATCAGGAGACGAGTGCACTAACCATGAGGCTACCGCACCAGCTTCATAACCCTTTTATTTACCTCGCTGGAATTGTAATAGTATTATAGATCAATTATAAAACAAATACTGACAGAAGTTACTAACCTTCTACATCATCATCCATTCGATCCTAAAAGAAAAAGGATTGAATCAGTAAAATACATAAGACTTGTGATATTTTATGAAATGTTCCAATGCAGTGATGTAACAATTGTGCAATACAATCAACGGGAGTTTCATTAACATTCTCAGCAGGAGGGTCACTGGTTTTCACAGGAGGGAAAAACTATTTGAACCAAACTTTTTAATTAGGAAAACATTCCCCAAGATGGTCAAACCAGCTGAGCAAAATTGTCTTCACAGCCGGTCAATTTGCCCAGTGCCCGGCCCTTAATGAAACTCCCGCTGCAGCAATAAAACACAGTTATTAACTGTTTCAAGAATTTCGACATTTCATCTTCTTAGTAATTATTCCTGGTTATTGTTCTTCATCCTCTTGGTTATTACTAAAATGCATCCCACACAAAATTTCCCACAATGCGCATGTACATATACACATGTGCATACATGTAAACATATGTACCTGCATAAAGCCATTAGGCCAACCATGTTATTTCTGAAACAGAAAATAAATTTAATTTCTTGATCTTCTTGCCCTCCACCCCTAAGCTAGCAGTGGAGGCCACTAGTGCCCTCCAAAAAGGCCTTTCATTAATTCAAAAACCTACTTGATTGGAAATTCAACAATAGGCCAATTTCGGTCTGCTCAGAGGTTCAGTGGACACCGTGTAAAAAAAAAAAAAATTAATTACAGTGTATATGCCTCTTAATACCACTGCAATTATCTGTTGGTTTACTCTGCTAAGTCTCAGAGCCAAGTGAAAATTTATGTATCCAAATCAGGGCTGTAACCATAAGATCCGTTTTAGCTGAGTATGTTTTATGTGCCCTTGATGATAGAGGTGAATTTGCCTGCTGTTGATACAATTCACCCAAAAAGTTTGTAGATCAAGGCTACAGGTAAATCAAAACTTAATGGGCACCCTGCAAATTAGCCTATTATAACCAAAACTCTACTTAAGATACTATACTCACCAGTTCATCACTGCTTCGTGAAATTCTCTCAGGCTGTGTACTGGATGGTACTTTACTGGAATTTAAAAACTGGCTTTGTAGCATTTTAAAAGTAGACTTGGAAATGCCTCCAACTGAACTTCCAGAACCCTATGAAGAGGGAAATAATCATTTAAATGGCTACATATTATTACTACTACTAACAATACTGCAACTCATTAAAAACTTCTACCTTCAACTTTTAGATAAATGGTGTTCTTTCACAAATGCCACAATGCAACGTAACAAAATGGATACACACGTCTTTATGAAAAGACCAGTTTAACGCCCAATTCGCTAGTGGAGGGAATTTGCCTACGAAGCCCGCGGGCTGCAACCGCAGTCACATCCCCGAGGCACTAGAACACCCACCTGGCCTGCCCAACCCGCAACCAAGCCACAAGCCCCCCGCACCAAGCCCCCTACAGGCACCCGTCACACTCAAGCCAGATGGCATTGGTGGAAAAAAATAAATTAATAAATAAATAAAATAAAATAAAATAAAATAAAATGCTGAAAAGAAAGGGAGGGATAGGGAGGGAACGCCGAGAACCACTAAACTATAATTCAATCCACAACGCCACACTAACAGAGCGATGAACACACTATGAGCACGTGGGACGACAACACATGTACTAACCAAAAATACCGCTGGACAATGTCAGCCCCAGGGCTCTCACGACCATATGACTG